AACTTTTGATTCTACACGACTTAACCCAAACACACTAATTTTGGGGTAGTCCCATCGTGTTTGACCCTTTTCGTTTGAGCCGTGCAAAAAGTTCTATTCATTCTAAACCTTTAAAATTGCGGCGAGTGGATGAAGAGGCAAAACACAACGGGCTCACCCAAAATTGGGTGTGTTTAGGTTTAAGAACGTATAGATCAAGTTCAACGGAGCGGATCGAAAAAAAACAATTAGGAATGATGTGCATTTTAGGCCGAGTCCTTAGGTCGGGAATCTTAAGGTGTCACCTTAGATTCACTTTCCATATATATAATAATTATTATATATACTATATATATATATATATATATATATATATATATATATGAGAAATATGGAGAACCTTTGGCTACCAAGGTGCTTAAAAACAACTTGAGGTAGTGATGCTGGCATAATCTTGTCCCTACATCACACCTCGGAGATAGAGCCTCAACCACCCTCACTAACTCCAATTAGATGTAGGGAACAAATTAGGCAATCACTACAAGTGTTGGAGAAACTTGTACCAAGTTTCTCCATTTCTCTCTCTCTCTCTCTCTCTCTCTCTCTCTCTCTCTCTTATATATATATATATAATATATTATATTATAAATATATATATTATATATATATATAATTATATATATTATATATATATTATATATAAATATTTTTTTATTTTTTATTCTATATATATATATATATCAATCATGATAATTATAAAGTTTTATGCAACCATGTTATGGTAAATAAATAAACTTAAAGTAAATAATTATGATATTTGACCACGTGCAGTGCACGTGCGTTCCACCTAGTTGTAACTAAACATATTAGTTTGAATTATTTTGTTTCCTGTTTTGAACCCTTGAGAAGATTCATCAATAGTGGGAATTGATTTGGTCTTTCTGTTGTTGTTTCAGTGATTGAAGACCTTGAAAAGTTTGGCTTGCTTCATGAGGAGAGGGCAAGAAGGAGAAATACAAAGTACATTGCACGTTAGATTGGTTAATGATGTTATACTTTCATGTAATAGAAAATAGAGATGTATACATTTGTTTCTGTTGTGTCTAGCGTCAAAGGCTTCGGTTGTAGACTTGTAGTGAACACAATATATTGGTTTAGATGCTATTTAGAAATTATTGAGCGAAAGGGATCTTGCGTTTGATTGGATTCGATTGAGGTTTGGCAAGAGAACAAAGAACGAAAAGGCATGACATATGGGGAGATGAATTTGGGTTCATTGACATATAACTCCTGTTCCTATTCAATTTCACATATAGGTAATAACTGTTATAAACTATTGCCATAAAATATCCAAAACAAATTCAACAAATCAGATTTTGGGTTAAATTTCACATATAGGTAATTAACTGTTATAAACTATTTCCTCAAAAAATCCAATACAAATTCAAGAACCCAGTGACGTTAAAGTTTGTCATCCCTGATCAGGGATTTATTTTTCATATCTAGTTATAGCATGCAATAGCTGACTAGGCAATTTTACATTGAACAAGTCTTCAACAGATTGGGGCATTTACATTGAACAGAAAACTACTCAACTACGCAATTGGAATTAAATAGATAAACGGACACAATAAATGATTCTATAGATAGTTAAGGAAATGATTATGCTAAGTGTAAACAGCAAACATCTTTCAGGCCTTATGAAAATAGGAGGTGCCAAAAAATAGTTAAACACTTAAAATTAAACTTAAAGCGTAACTTCTCAGGTTGTAAATTTTATAAAGCCGGTTAACAACCTAATTTATGCTCATTTACATCTACAAGATTTCTAATTTCAGTCGCATTCATTAGACACTGAGTGCTGTCTCTGTTCACTAGACACTGAGTGCTCATGATGCCTGTGACTGTGCTC